TTAAATGCATTCATGTCTTGCATTAAACAAAATACATGTGTGGAAATACATGCCACTTCAGATGCAGCTTCTGTGTTGATTTAATTTGCTTGGTAACAGCCCAAATGTCTTATTATTCTAATTCCCTGATTAAATGTAAGAATTTGACTCAAAAGATAATGGACACTTTTAGAAAAAATGGCTTTATAAAGGTAAAAATGCCCATAAAATGCAAAAATCAGTTTAAACTTATTGGAAAATATTAATTTCTATCAGTATGAACTGACCACCACACAGAATATGAAGAATATTAAAAACATTAGGAGTCAGCTGTCTTCGGCAGTCCTTAAGGTACCAGCACAATAACACACTCAGCAAAATATCGTCTAATTATCGTTATCGATAAAATCCCAGAAAATATCGAGATATAATTTTTTGTCAATATCGCACACCCCTAGTTCACATTGAAACTCAATAGTATCTACTTATTGAATTTATTTATAGAATCATGGTAGTATTTAGTTATTCATTTTTTATTAGTTTTTATTTAGTTTGTATTTATAGTGTTCATATTGAGACTTGATAGTATTTATCATTTATTTACTGTATATTTTATTTATTTGTTAGGTTTTATTTAGTTTGAATTTATTTGGAATTGAGATTTGATAGTATTTATTTATTTAGATCATATTTAGACTGTTATTTATTTAGTTATTTAGTTATAAATTAGAACAGAAATAGACACATCTGAACTCTAAATCTACCCACAATTCACTTCGAAATCTGTTGTTGATATTCTGACAGCATCAAGTATCCCCTCATTCTTTAATTCATCTTTTGCATCATTTTGCTTGTTGCCACCAGACTGAGTGAGAGTCATTTCTGTAATTAATTCCACAATCATTTCTGTAATGAGCTGAAGGAAACGAGGAGTCAAATGCAATTGTGAAAGTGATGGATTCTGATCCATATCACCTATTGATCATGTTGAAGTCCTCGGGCAGGAGCCGCTGCTGACGCCCCCTGCTGGTTACATTTACACTCACCTTGGCTTCCCCTCCAGGACTAATCTTAGAAAGATTTTGCTATAATTGAGATTTAAACGGAGACATCGGTTATAGTGTCACGAGTCCAGATGTAATTTGGCTTTATGAGACTGAGGCAAAAAAAAGGATATTATCGGTGATGTTGCGGTACAGATATTGTTTCCGTTTGTAATAACATGATATTTCAATATCTGTTATATATGCTTTTGAATTATTATTATAATTCAATGCCATGCTATTTACTTGGCACTCTCAGGACGTTCAAATAATACAGTGGTAACTGTCTAAAACAAACAGGCCTGAAATCTCTGGTAAAAATCGTCCCAGCTTGTCAAACCTAACTAGTTGCTGTGAGATTGGTTGTGTTATTTTCAGAGTGTCCGTGGGAGTGGGATGATCTGACCTGCTGGCAGGCTGCCAGTGTCGGTGAGGTCGTGAAGGTCAACTGTCCCGAGCTCTTCGAGTTTATGAGTCCAGACGAGGGTGAGAGATGTTTAACTATGATGTCATTTTTTAATATATTGCTGCTTTATAGTACTAGTTTTCAATACTCCCCTAACAAAAAGTATTGGTAATACTTTATAACAAGGTTCCATTTGTTAACACTAGTTAACTACATTAGTTAACAAATACGTCTAAAGTATGTATTAAGTAAGAGATAATGTACATCCAGCCGGTTGTTATTGCAGAATAACTCCTGACAAGGTGATCATGTGCCCGATGCAGCTACTTGCCACATAAGTAAAGAATTAGACACGAAATATTGATTTGAGTTGAAATATTTGAACGCAAAGCTTCCGTGAAGGCGGACATTTAAAGGGATAGTTCACCCAAAAATGAAAATCACCCCATGATTTACTCACCCTCAAGCCATCTTAGGTGGATATGACGTTCTTCTTTCAGACGAATACAATCAGAGTTATATTAAAAAATATCCCGGCTCTTCCTAGTTCACCGGAGCTTACACTACGCCTACATCCTACATCATCCGCTGGAACGCCACTCTCTCGTGAACGCACATACGACAGTTAGCAGAAGCTAGAGACTGCGGTTTATTAAGTTATAAATATGGATATTTTTCTTACACAAAGGCATCGATTTGCTTCAGAAGGCCTTTATTAACCCCCTGGAGCCATGTGGAGCACTTTTTATGATGGATGGATGCACTTTTTTGGGCTTTAAAATCTCAACACCCATTCACTGCCATTATAAAGCTTGGAAGAGCCAGGACATTTTTTTCTATAACTCCGATTGTATTCGTCTGAAAGAAGAAAGTCATATACACCTAGAATGGCTTGAGGGTGAGTAAATCATGGGGTAATTTTTTTTGGGTGAACTATCCCTTTAAGAGATACGGTACAGTCATACCACATATTACACGGCATTTCACCACATAAATAATTATTGCGATTTAAGATGAAACTTTTAAAATCGTAACAGTTTGTTAGTTATCTTATAATCCATTACAGTGTACAAAAAAATCGTCGCAAAAATGGCAGCAGCTGCGTTTGTATGAAACGAGAGAGAGCGAGTATACCAGGATGACGTAAATTAATAATTGTACACATAATATTGATTTGAGTTTTCATATTTTAAGCTTGCACAAAGAAAAACTGTTCCTAGCAAGTGTATAGCGCCGACTTTAGTTACCCGGATGAGCCTTTTACCGGTTGTTATCGAGGAATAACAAACCTCGGAATGTCATGACTGACCAATCAGAATCAAGTATTCCACAGAGCTGTGTAATAATCTTAGTTAATGTTAATTTCAGCATTTACTTATGCATTATTGAAATCAAATGTTTGTATCTGTTAATGTTATCTAATGATTATATTATTTATTTGTTTATAGCTTGTTTGTTTTGTTGGTTTTAAATAGAATGAATATATACAGTGATAAATTAAAAATGTATAATTTAATATAACTTTTTATTTGAATATATTTGTTTATAATTATAGCATCATTACTCCACTCTTCAGTGTCACATGATCCTTCAGAAATCATTCATATATAAATAGACAGTACAATCTCTAAGTATCACCATGAAGCATCTCCAAAAAACATGGAATTACCATGGTACCTTTGGGTACTTTATTGTTAGTGAGTTAGGTATGTTGTGAAGAATAAAGAATATAAAATAAAAATGAGCTGAAGATTTAAAAGATGTAAACATAAGCAAGAGTTGCTGTATAATAAGAATATATTTTGTAGTCAAGCTTCTGACTGATTTTTTTGTCCGTATTTGTTTTGCAATTCAGGTTTAACAGCAACACTGTTGAAGCAGGCATAACCAGTGTTGGGGGTAACGCATTACAAGTAACGCAAGTTACGTGTCCAGATTTAAAAAGTAACGCAAAAGTAACGTAACGCATTACTTTCCATAAAAAGTAACGTAATTAGTTACTTTTTTATGGAGTAACGCAATATTGTAATGCATTACTTTTAAAAGTAACTTTCCCCAACACTGGGCATAACATCATCCTAATATCACACAGAAACCGTGAACGTTAGGCTTTTCATGAGATCATGAGTCATTATAAATGTACATGTGATGTATGTGCTCTTTTGTTCTTGCGTTTCTGCTGACAGCAGCATATTGCAGCAGTTGGTTACAGTATGTTTAAAGCGGGAAACACGCTTGATTTATCGTTGTTCTGCTTGTTGCCTGGTTGATTTTCAGGGCTCGGCAAGATCAGCAGAAACTGTACAGAGTTCGGTTGGTCTGAACCGTATCCGCTTTATGTTGATGCCTGTATGATTGGTGACAACACAACCAAGCCTGTGAGTATCTCATCTGACTGAACTACTGATGATATAAATCATCTGGAGACAAACTCAGAACAACTATATACTGAGAGAATATGAGGGTCATAACCACCATAGTCATTTAGGAGACCATAGTCATTACAAGAGTAATAAAAATTCAAATTAGTGGTCCACCAATATGACAGATTGGTTACACTTTATTTTAAGGTGTCCTTGTTACAGTGTAATTATACATTTAAGTACTGAGTACTGAGTAATATCAATTAACTACATGTACTTATTATATGGTTAGGGTTAGGATTAGGGTTTGGCTTAGGTTTACTTGCATGTAATTATGCATAATTTATTGTTATTATAATAGTAAGTACATGTAACATGTGTAACAAGGACACCTTAAAATAAAGTGTTACCGACAGATTCTTAAAATTGTACTAATTTCGTGATTTAACTTTCTGATTGTTTTTCGTCGTAATTTTCGCAATTCTGATTTCAGAATTGTGAGAAAAGAAGACATAATTATGAAATAAACTCTGATAAAAAGTTGCAATTACCTTTTTTATTTAAATTTTTTTATTCCTTGACGGAAATAAGCTTGTCACAAATCTGACATTTTTCTTGCAATTGCAAGTTAAACAACAATTGCAAGACTTTTCTTCTCAGAATTGCAAGTTTATATCTCACAATTGCGAGTTATAAAACTCGCAATTACAAGTTAGCATCTCACAGTTTGTATCTCACAATTCTGACTTTTTTTCTGTAGAATTTCAAGAAAAGAAGTCAGAATTGTGAGATGAAAAGTTGCCAGAATTGCTAGATAGAATTGCATTCCAAGTTTATAATTTGCATTAGTGAGAATTTGTTTCGAGAACAAGCCAGAACTGTGAGATAAAGTCGCAGTTATCCTTTTTTATTTTTTTATTCCTTGCAAAAACAAGCTTTTAGTCTTGATTTGCCCAATTTTCTTGCAATTGCGAGTTATAAACGTGCAATTCTGGTAAAAGACTTGTGAGTTTATATCTTGCAGTTCTCAGAATAGTGAGATGAAAAAATCAGAACTGCAAAATAAAAATTGTGATTGTGAGATAAAAAGTCACAATTACCTCTTTTATTTTTTTATTCCTTAGCGGAAATAAGCTTTCATAGTATTACATTAACGGAAATGAAAGTAAACAAAAACCTCTGCTAAACTGCTGCTAACCATGACTAATGCACATTTCTCTTCCCTTCCCAAGGACATGTACTACGCGTCTGTGAAGGCTCTCTACACGGTGGGCTACAGCACATCTCTGGTGTCTCTGACCGCAGCTATGGTCATTCTGTGCCGCTTCAGGTCAGTTTTAAAGAAGTCTGATCACGCAACAAGTACATGATACATGTCAAAACAAGCTATTACCATGTTATTTTTGCTACTTTATTGGCAGTGAGAGTATGTTAGGAAAAAAAGAAATATTAAGTGCATTTAAACATGCATACTAATCATTTATCTTAAAGGGGTCATATGATGTTGCTAAAAAGAACATTATTTTGTGTATTTGGTGTAATGAAATGTGTTTATGCGGTTTAAGGTTAAAAAAACTAATTATTTTCCACATACTGTACATTATTGTTGCTCCTCTATGCCCCGCCTTTCTGAAACGCGTCGATTTTTACAAAGCTCATCGGTCTGAAAAGCGAGGTGTGCTCTGATTGGCCAGCTATCCAGTGCGTTGTGATTGGCTGAATACCTCAAGCGTGTGACGGAAATGTTACGCCCCTTACCATATTGTGATGCCATGTCCCGGCCGGAGCGAAGAGACAAAAACATTAAAACCCATTATAAACGAGGCATTTGTTGCATCCAGTGGGGACATAATTACGGATTATAATGACTTATGACTGCTGGACACATCTGAATATTTGGGTTGAACTGTTCTGGAACAGTGTTGTAAATACAACTTAACCACTATTTAAATTTTTTTATTTTTTTTTTTTTTTTTTTTTTTTTTTTTTTGGTGTGTATTATCGCCCAGACATTTCTTGGTGAGATTGGCCTCTCAACTTTTAAAAATACAGTTTCCCAATTGCAGTGAAAAAGGATTTTACAGCCTGATGCAAATGAAGAAGCTTTTTGAGTACTTTGTTTTCTTTAGTTCTTTAGAAAAGCATCTGTGCAGTGGTTCTTTAAAGTATCTAGAATCCAAATAGAGTGATTATACTTATGTATGATGTACATTATGATAAGATGCCGAGGGCTTCAAAGAAGCATTGATAAGTGTTTGTACAGTGATTGATACAGACCCTCAGCTGCCCACCCAAACACATTAGAATCTCCCAACAACACCGTAATCCTGCCTTTAAACGTCTGTCAACAGGAAGCTTCACTGTACCAGGAATTTCATCCACATGAACCTGTTTGTGTCCTTCATCCTGAGAGCCATCTCTGTGTTCATTAAAGATGGGGTCCTGTACGCAGAGGAGGACAGTGACCACTGCTTTGTTCATACTGTGAGTAATGTGCATGATTATAGCTTCACTAAACTTTTTTAGTTTTATGCCTGAAGAAATTAATAATATGACAAATCTATTTAAACTGCATGTTCACTAATACACAAAGAATCGGTTTTGTTTTGCATAATTAAGTTGTAATAGATATTTTATTGTGCGTGTGTATGTGTGTTTTAGTTGCCTATGCATTGCACAAATATTTTATTCACAGCAAAAATTCTGTGAATACAATATTTCTTTCAAAATTTATTTATTTATTTAACTTTTTTAGTTTTATGCCTGAAGAAATCAATAATATGGCAAATATATTTGAAATTGTTATATTAGTAGTATAAATACTATTACTTTAATATTTATTATGCATTATATTATTTACCGTGTGTGTGTGTGTGTATAAATTGCATATAATATTTTATTATATAATATATAACATAATACCACTAAATATACTAATATTAATAAAAACAATAAATAAAATAAAATAATAAAAAACTGTAAAACAAAACTTATTAAAATATATTATATTATATATTTGTAATACATATTTTAATATATAAAACCGCTATGTACTAAATATACTAATACTAATAAAAACAATTATATATATTAATATATATATATATATATATAAAAATACTACTATTAAAAATGTGTGCTAACAGAAACTGTTAGGGCCGGAGTTTGGCTGGATGCTATTTGCATGTGAAATCCAGAGACTAATAATAAATTCATCCGTTTCTGTTCAAGCCTTCGCCCCACTTTAAACAGCAACACGTTCTGTTTCCCCCGTCTGTGCCTGATAAACAGCCGTAATTATCATGAAGCTGAGTTCAACGTACTCTGGAAATATTCCATTATTTCCGTATTAGCATATGAATAGCTTATAAAAACGTGCACGCTCTCATTATACACCTGAATGAGGGCTCCGAGCTCTTTCCCCCAGCCAATCAGAGGCCATGCTAATGACATCACTTAAAACTGAATTGGATCAGAGGGTAATTGATGAACATTGTTAAAGACTTTAGGGTGTTCTGACACACGGCGGGAAAGAAATTCTGATTGGAAATGTACATGCAGTCTGTCAGACGAAAGGATGCATCACTGATCCAATTGCTTATAGCTGGATTAAGATGGTCATTAGGCTTGGTTGATTAGCTAAACTACCTGGTAGACCACTATGGACCAGCAACAAATCAGCTGCTATGTTCTAAAAACAAGCTTGACTAACTTAAACTGGTTTGACCCAAGGAGGCCTACAGAAAAATACAATGAGAAATTCATCCGCTTGCATGCATACATTCAGATTTTGCAATCAAATTATTTCCTGACAGATAAAATAAAGTCCTGTCATATATTTTTGTTGTTGTTGTTCAACAAACTGTTTCAAAAAATTTGTCAGAATATAAAATGTAGGTGACCAGATTTCTGAACTAGAAACCAGAGACATTTCCTACAGTTTAGTGGTCAAAATATCATTGAAATATCACTTGTTATAATCCTGGAATTAAAAAATGAGGACAAGACATTTTTTGTATGTTTTTGTTTTTTAATTGTTGTTTAACATACAATTATTGTAATAGAATAACGGGCATTAATACCATTCACCAAAAATATCACTATGATAAATAGTAAATCGCAAATAGCAAGCAGATCAAAAGAGTATTATAACAAAATTATGACTTTACAAAATTTTATATTTTGTTATTTAAATCTAATCTAATCTAGAGATAAATCTAAAATATTTAACTAATCTAAATATTTCAATCTAATTTAATATTTAAATATACCGCTGAATATTTTATATTATTTTTTTATTTATATTTTTGTTATTTTAAAGTTTGTGCTTTTGGATCTTTATCATATTATTTTCATGGATCTTCACTATCCCTAATTATTTAGCATTTTAAGGTCATTTTAGCACAAATGGTGTGCTTTCTGCAAATGTAATTGTTGCAAGTGTAACTGTTTAGTTGATTATTTCTGTATTTATTCTGTATTTATTATCCAGGTAATCAGTGTAGCTTTTTTGCTTTGTATTTGAATGTGCGGAATAGGGCTGGGCGATATAGCTAAAAAATGTATCAACGATATAATGTTTCATATCGTTCGGTATCAGTAATTATTGACATTTTTTATAACCTTTTTTAAAACAAAGAGCAATAGAAAAAAATGTTTTAATTTAACCACTGTATTTTTTAATTAATTCAATTTATTGAGACAAACAACAAATATTTTTTTGTTTTAACAGTCAAAAACAAAATAAAAATTAAACAAATATCTAATTTCTAATGTTTTATATGCAGATTAAATAGGTTAAACTTTTGGCTTGTCTCCCAAGGCCACAGGAGGGCGCAATGAGCAAAATAATGCAGCACATTTTAAATGTTCAACGCAAGGAAGTAATAGTCTATAAAAAACGTGCATTACGTCTAAATTAACTAATATAAATCAAATATAATTTCATAAATTGCATAAACAATTATGAACAATACAGCATCACGTATTTATGCATTGCTTAATACAAAGAGCCGAATCACCCATCACAAAGATTGCCTTTAAAAACATATGAGACGCAGTGAAAAGGAATAAACCTCCACAAATTTGCGACGTGTTTTCTAAAAGTTTAAACTGTTTTAACTTTGCATGGCTACATCTCTTGTGTGAGACGCGAGTGCAGCAGTCATATTTGTCCATCTA